CCACGGCAACGGCAGCGGCCCGGAGGAGGAGGAGGAGGCCGAGCGCATGGAGGACGAGGAGCAGGAGCGGCTGCTGAGCTACTGGCAGAGCGTGGGCAGGGGGCACCAGGTGGACGTGCCCCGCGGTAAGAGCCGGCCGCGACGGGCAGCGCTCGGGCCGCGCTAAGCCGCTTACGCCCCCGGCAGCGCGCTGGGCTCCAGGGGGATTAGGGAGGCGGCATTTCTGGGCTTACCGGCCGGTACCGCGACCTTCCCAGTCATTCCCGACCTTCGGCTGCAGGGGGTCCCTCTCGGCAGCTCCGTCTGCCTGGCCGATGCCGGGGGCGAGGTCCGCGGGGGCCGGAGCAGAGCCCTGCCTTTCCCCGAGAGCCCCGGGGGATCGGTCCTCGGGACTGGGACCCAGCTGCCTCCCTGGGGCAGCCCGGGCCCCACCGGCGCCCTTCGCCTCCCCAGCCGCCCTCGGCCACGCCGGACAGCCACGGCGAGGCTGGGCGAGGTACGCCCGGTGCCACCGGCCGCGGCAAGGCTGAAGGCGGTGCAGCGCCGGGAACGGCAGCGAACCCCCGCGTCCTGCCGCACGCACAACGCCTGAGCTACGGCTTTGCGAGGGCGGCTCAAAAGATGTTTCTGACTTAGAGAAGCGGCTGTAGAAGTAGTGGATTGACCTATTTATACTGAAAAGGACTGACGGGAGTTTTCAGTCTTAATTAAAAACTAAACTTGACTACCTGCAAAAGCCTTTCGCTTAAGAATCTCCCCTCACTGCAACCAAGAGGTTCGTTCTTTAAAGAAAGACGGTTGAATTAAAAGGTGGCACAAAGTAAACACGTAAAAGGACCGACTTTGCTTTTTGACAGTAAGCCTCCCAGGCTTATCTTGTTAAGAAATTGTTTATTTTCCATTTTAAGGAAGACCAAAGAATCTGAAAGACTGTAACAAGTCAGATAACTCACAACAGGCAGCAGAGACTAACTGCAAGCTTAGCTTGTTCAGAAACTTTAACTCACCTGCACCGTCCTGTGTAGAGAAGTAGAGAGAGATCTTTAGCATCCCTACTGCTCAGATAAATCACCGCCTAGAGCGTGGGAAGCAGCATAACCTTGAACAACAGGCTGCTCTAGACACTACCAAAATGAAACAACTGTTATTTAAAAACTTTTTCTATATTCCAACACAGTAAAGAAAGTACAACCTCCTTTTCAAGTCATTCCTAGAAACCTCATCTTATCTTTCTAATGTTTTAACACTGGAAATTAGCGCCCTGCCAGGTACTAAAAGAAGGGCAAGGCCAGTCTGACTCTCGCCGCCCCCTTAGGGGGGTCTTTGGGTGCCCCGGGCCAGCAGCGCCAGCCCACGCCTGCGCCCGCGACCAGCGCGTCACGTCTGACGGCTTCCGATTCTGCAGGGGCACGGGGCGGGGGGAGAGGGGCTCCCTGTTTAAGGCACGCGTGAGTGAGGGGTGAATGCGTGGATGCTGAGCTGCTCCTGGAGAGGAGCAGAAAACAAGATTCCTTCCCACAAAATTATCTGGTACTCTGATACATAGTGAAACAAGGCATTGAAATACCTACGATTGCTAAGATAGGCAGGATATCCAGTCTAGGAAATACGGCTGAAGTAGTAATTTAGCACGTTTTAGTTACTGTATTGTAAAAGGTTTACTTTGTAACACTAAGCAAATGTTACAAAAATCTAAACAGAAGCTATTTCCTTCAGATATTGTCCAAAGCCATACATCAAGAGCAGCCTAAAAGAGTTTGCCAGATAAGTTTACATGGTCCATTCAGAGTTCAAGCTAACTATTAATATCCATGCTCAGCACCCAGTCCGCTAAAGCGTACTTGGGCCTCAGGGAATACCCAGGGGAAACACGGGATGGGTTCCTGGGAGCAATCCTCCCTGTCGACAGGGAGCAGTGACTAGCGCACCCCATCCAAGCAGCTGCTGGCACTGAAGCCATGACCTAAGAACCTACACGAACTTTACGCGACCAACTACTGACTGCCAGCCTGGTAACTGTGCAGACAGCGCGTTCCAGACCTTAACAACAGAACGCTATTTCCTATAGTCTAGTGGCAAAGTCTGCAAAATAAGATCACCATCCCTCTCATCAATAGTTCTGGACTGCCACAAGCTCCGACACCTGTTTTGCTCCATGGTGACAATATACCTTTCAAAAAGATGACTTGCTTTGTACTTTTGTTAGCACCTTTTAAGGGCAACAGGAACTCTGTAAGCCTCCTAAAAAAAAAAAAAAAAAATCTAAGATTTTGAGATGTGAACAACAGATATTTATATGGCTGGCGTATCAATTTATTGCTGTTAAGTTCTTAATCCTATAGACTGACTGACTGGCCTATGCCAAGCCTTACAACAAAAAGGTAAAAGAAAATTAAAAGGTGCAGGAAGGTATAATCTAACTGTCTTGGTTTGAAAACTCCATTTTATCTACTCCCAAAAGCAGCAGAAAACATACTACAGCGGTTACTCTAAATTTCTCAATTCTAATTTCAATACAAGAACATTCATGAACAAGCAAGCTCAGGAAAGTTGCTACCCATCAAAGCCATCTACTTGCTAATGCCTGAAGTGGTATGAAGACGCTCCGCGTACGAAGCGGCGTGCTCTGAGGTCGGGTACCCAGGCTGCAGATCGAACTTTAGGTCTGGAACTGCAGGTGGTTTTCCACTCGTTCCAACGTACCTCCTGTTCCCAGCATTACCAAGGCCGTCTCCTCTACTCTAGAAGGACAAAGTTATGTGCGCGTGTACACTGTTTAAGGGCGCAGCTGACAAGTACATCCCACTTCAGTGACACTCCCAGCAGGTCTGATCAGACACAAATTAAGACATGCAACAATGTAAATACTGTTCAGTCTTGCTGCTGTGCACAAGTCTTGTCAAATGTGCCTTACCTATATAACTCCTTTTGTAAAGATTTGCCTCTTTCACAATACCTACCTATAGTAGCAACTGTACTCACAATTTTGAAATTTAACTAAACCAAGCCTTTACCTAGCTACACTGCTACACTCTTCTTGCCTTGTTTTGTCACACCAGTATTCAAGTTTGCAAGCTTGGACTGACAGACGGCATGTCAAGCAACTCGCTTGCTTTTGGGCAGGATAATTTAAGTGTTGTCCAGGTTAAGGTATTTATAATGCAAATGTTCTGTTGTCATGCCTGACCGGCATGGATTCATGAACTGAAGAATAAAACTCCTGAAAGAACTTCAATTAGTTGTAATCCCTACCCTATGCATTAATAGGGTAGGAAAAAAAAAACCCCACACAGTTATCAATAAAGGAACTGAAAAATAGACTTAACATTTCTAGAGTCCTAAAATGTTTCCTAATTCTTGAGTACCCTGTGGAAAATTCAGTGCTGAAGTCTAATCTACTTTTATTTTTCTCTCAGCCTCCAAAGAGATCAATTTTACATGTCAGTTATTACTTACATTTTAAATGTTTCCCAATGACATTTTTTTAAAAAATGTTTAAAACTAACTGAAGTGTAGCTTTCTCCCCTTTACTAAAAGGATCTTTACTATGCCAAAGAGTCTTAAAGCTAAAACCCCTGCAGGATGCCAGGAGATGTAGGTTTGATTCCCCGCTCAGCTACATATTTACTAAGTGACCTAGGCCAAGTTAATTCTCCTGTTCTCTGAAAGACGGATAATACTCTCTTCCTCCTCGTCCTGCCTTTTCCACTTAAAATACTGAGGCACTTAAAACACCCAAGAGAAGGGCTCTTATTTCAGTTGAAACTTTCACCCTTTTCATGCATGTCCGATACACACTATGAGGTAGTATGGCAGAAATTCACATCCAAACTTCAAACACCGTACATAAAAATTAAGTTTCTAATCCTCTATCAAAGTACACAAATGCCTATATTATGTCAACTTCGAAAGGCAAGGGACTAACTCTTTTGGGAGAGAGGCTTTCCATTCCTAAGACTACCCTTACATCCAGAGTTTCCAAGCCTGTCTGTTAGGGATCAACTTCTAAGCAGAATTGGTTTACGAACTGCCGCTAGAATTGATGTCAAGGCAACCATAGTTGCAAATACACCTAATCCAACCATATTTAAACTACGAAACCGAAGGAGAACAGAAGTCCTAGAATATGCTAGTATTATATATGCAAGTATAATATATTTGCTCCTTCTATCCATTTGAGCTTGGCTGGGAAGCGTAACGATGAATACAGACTGGGTGATTGCTAGTGTCGCTACATCTAGAAACAGGGGATAGGTTCATTATTTAATATCTTGCAAAATGTGGGAATCATTCAAAAAGTCACCGCGCCTTTCAGTTCCACCTCGGTATCGGTAAGCGAGCATGCAGGTGCTTAGAGTTCTTCCACAGCAGTCAGGTATTGACGCTCTCCTTCGCGTAGTGGTCCGCCACCAAAATGTGAGCGCTCAGACCAAAGAGATGACACCTTAGACTGTACTCTGAGCCCTTCTTGTTCCAAAGGGCAAGATGACAGACAACGGCAAACAAAAGGAGCGTGCAAAACACGCAATGTCCCTATTGGTCAAATAAAGTTGATATGTTCCATTTAACCTTTACTAATGCTTTATGGTAACTACGACTATTTGAGAGCATTGAACCACTGTATTTCTTTCTGCCACGTGTAATGGAACCTGACAAACAGAACACAAATTACCAAGCTTGCTTTGCTCTGCTCCCACCTTTGTGTAAGTTGTGTTTCAATTTTGCTAGAATGTCAATATTCATTCTCAGTCAACAGTCTTCTGCCCCTTCTGAACCGAAATAAAACCTTTTGCCTAATGTACTTGGTACCTAATCAGACAGCACATACCGATAAAACTACTACGCAACAAAAAGAAATTGTGTTAAATTGACACAAATCCATGTTCCAATTTCTTTGTTAAACAACCACGTCATCTTAAGATACAGGTCTTCAGTGAAGTCCACACTGAGGAATTTTAAGTTTCCTCATCTTATACTTCTTTAACTTAACAGGACACTTTTCTCCTCCCTCATCTACAATTTCAGCACTTTTCTTTTAAAGAAAGCATAAGCATCTATTTACACTAAATAGGTATAATATGTAGAATTAATTAATACACAACTATGCAATAATTTAGGGTATGAAGAGCCCCTGGAGAACTGTAGTCTAACCCCTTGTTAAAAGCAGGGCTAGTTTCAAAGTTAGGTTGCTAACTTTCAGGTTTCAGGTTGCTCAGGGGCTCCATTACATCTCTGGGCCCCTGTCCCAGGGGTTGATCCCAGAATCATAGAATTGTCATGACTGGAAAAGACCCTCAAGATCATCAAGTCCAACCGTTAACCTATCACTGCCAAGCCC